TAGGTTTTAAGGAAGGCCTGGTATAGATCCAGTACACATAGGATCTGGAACTGAATGAATGAAAAATGGCTCTGGTTCTTTATTTAAGGAGAGTACATCAAAGGCAGAGATAAGGTTTCAGTGGGTGGAGTCTTGCTTCTTGGTGTACGGCAGGCAACAGGTTGATTGGCATCTTGGCAAGCCACACCCATATCTGAGAGGCTATGTGGCTCCAGCAGGTCACCCACCCCATCTCCAGTACTGTGCAGAACTTGTGGCAGAGCTAGATAGGAATTCACATGTATTGGGAATTTCATCTGCAGAAGTGCCGCTGTGAGTTCCCAGATATCAGACTTTCCTACCCAAAGGCTTTCATTCTGATTTTAGTTCACACACAGTTCACGGATGGTTCCTGGCATTCCACTGAGTTTATTACTATGTGACTTAAGTGAAATCAAGAATTTAGGATTTTTAAACAACTGGTGAGTCTCAAAAGTGAAAAGCCTTTCAGCCTTTGGGACACAGGGAAGTCAGAAATCATTGAAATACAGAAAATGCCCCTCCAACCCCTCAGCATGCAGCCCATTCCTTGGCCTGTACCTCTGACCCATGCCCTTGCCTGCAAAAACTAATGCGAGGGCAATGTGCAAGCACAGGGAAAACCGGCCCAAAATTGTGTAATTGCCCTGACTCCACCTCTAGACTGGCCAGCCCCTAGCAATGGTCCCTTTATACATAACAACTCACACCAAAAGATTGCTGGCCTGCACTCTCTCTTGAATGTGTATTCCTTGCTCTACCCCAAAAGCTTCTTCCTTTGAGATAGCTCACATTCTTCCTTGAATGTGTGTGTCTCTGCTTTCCTAAGTAAATTTTCATCTGTGTCTCTGGCACATGCTAAAATTCTTTTCTGGCATGTATGCCAAGAACTCCACTTGTCCTGAGTTGAGGTTCCCTCTGGAAACTGTTCGAACCTCTGGTGACAATAATGTGAATGTATTAACGTTATCACAGGAGCTTACAAACAATTCACCATCAAGAGTATTTTTTAAAGCATCATTCAAAAGCATTGCAAAAACTTACCTTCTTTTAGGTATGTTCATACTAGTAATGTACTCTGCCTTCCAAGTGAGAAATATGAAACATCATCACTATCCTACAGCTCAAGCTGAGTTTGCTCAAGCTGCTATAACAAAACAGCATAGATGAGGTGGCTTGGACAATACATTTATTTTCTCACAGTTCTAAAGGATAAAAGTCCCAGAGGGTTCTAGCTTGCAAACAGCTGCCTTTTCACTGTCCTCACATAACAGAGCAGGCTTTCTGGCATCTCTGTGAATGTAACCCTAGTTGGAAATAGACTGGAGATATAATGAACTTAAGAATCTTTGTATCATCTTGAATTATCCAGGTTGGTCCTAGCTCTAAAACAAGTGCCGCAATAAAAGATGGAAGAGAAAAAGACATAGAGGTGATATAAAGATGCAGGCACATGGAGTTACATAGACCCAAGAAACACCTGGAACTCCTCTTGGAGGGAATGTGGCCCCTGCACCTTGATTTTGGACTTCTGCTCCTGTGAGAGAAACATTTTCTGTTAAGTCATCCTTTGTGATAATTTAGTGGGTGCAATAGCTCATGCCTGTAATCCCAGTGACTTTGAAGGGTGAGGCAGAAGGATAATAAATTTGAGGCCGGCCTCAGCAATTTAGCCAGGCCCTAAGCAATTTACCAAGACCCTGTTACAAAATTTAAAAAGAGCTGGGGATGTGATCCAGTGGTAAAGTGTCCCTAGGCACAATCTCCAGTACCAAGAAAAACAAAACAAAAAAACAGTTTGTGATAATATGTTATGGCAGCCCTAGGAAAATATTATACAATTTACTTAGTAACCAAAAGAAAACTGGATGGGCTATATTTCAGTAGACCCCACTTTTCCATAGGGGATGTGTACATTCTCAAGACCTCCAATAGATGCCTAAAATTATGGCTAGTACTAAACCCTATAGACATCATAATGGTGCTTTGGGGCAATTACTAAGTAAAATAAGGGTTATCTGGACACAAGATCTATAATATCACAACAGCTGGTCCAGATAACTACCACATGACTAATATCATGCAGTAAGGGTACACTGGATGAGAGGTTGAGTCATATCCTGGGCAGGACAGAGTGTGCACAAGATTTTATCATGCTACTCAAAACACTGCAATTTGAAACTTAGGGATTGTTTGTTTCTGGAATTTTCTATTTTCACACTGTATATATAGATAACAAATTTTTGGAAAATGAAATGGCAGATAGGGCAGGAGTGCTACTCTAGCAAAGTAGATTACAAGGCAGAAACTACCACCAGTATTAAAGAGAGTCAATTCATAATGATAGTGGGGTCATTCATCAAGAGTACATACCAATATTGCCTGGCATATTGGTATGTATATATAATCCCAGTGACTCCTGAGGCTGAGGCAGGAGGATTGCAAGTTTAATGCCAGCCTCAGCAACTTAGACCCTATTTCAAAATAATTTTTTTAAAGGCAGTGGGGAGGAGCCAGGGATGTGGCTCAGTGGTTAAGTACCCTAGGTTCAATCCCTGGTACCAGAAAAAAAAAGAACATAACAATCCTAATGATTTTGTACCTAATAACAGCTCTGAGATATATGAAGCAAAAAGTGATATAACTGAAAGGAGAAAATAGACCCACAATTATAGATGATTACTTCAACACCTATCTTTAATAATTGATAGAACAAGGAGGCAGAATATCAATAAGGATATAAATGACAGTACTATCAACTAACTTAATTGGGTTTTTTTGTTGTTGTTTTGTTTTCATTGTTGTTTGGGTTTTTTTTTTTTTGTTTTTTTTTTTAATATTTATTTTTTAGTTTTCGGCGGACACAACATCTTTGTTTGTATGTGGTGCTGAGGATCGAACCCGGGCCGCACGCATGCCAGGCGAGCGCGCTACCGCTTGAGCCACATCCCCAGCCCCTGTTGTTTGGTTTTTGTTGTTTGTTTGGGTACCTAGGATTGAGCCCAGAGGAACTTAACTACTGAACTACCTCCCAAGCCCTTTTTGTTTTCTTTTGAGACAAGGTCTCTTTTAAGTTGTGTAGGCCTCACTACATTGCTGAAGCTGGCTTGGAATTCCTGC